TGCCCTTTTTCTCCAGAACCTGGAAATTCTGGCGGCCTGGTTGGTTCATCCAGTCCCTCCTCAAAGACCAGCACATTTGCTCAGTTTCACAAGTTCTAGCTCAGTTTCATAAGTCTAGTCTTTACAGTAGCACTGTTGAAGGTTCGGGTTACCTCTCTACTCAGGTCTTCCATGTAGGCTTCCATCTTTCTACCGGGTTCCCTTGATTTACATGGCCTAAGGACTTATCTTGGGTTCACACCGCCCAGTACCAGTTTGTGTTCCCTTGTACAACATTGTATGAGAGCCTTAGACCTTCCAGTCAGGCTAGTATGACACGGGTTACAGGTATCCTATCCCAACCAATCACAGAAGACAGTTAGCCATAATACAGAAGAATTGCAAATTTTCACTGTCACTGGGATTTGAACTCTAGACCTGCCACTTGGGAGTTGACAACCTATTCACTTCACTAGGTCACCACACCCCTATACAATATATAGTTTATATCATTGAATAATACTATTTTATATATTATTAAACAATATAATTTATATATTAAATTATAGCCAAATCTACTTTGAATATCTTGTATATTTTTTTGTAAACTGTTATTAATACTTTTATATAATTATAACTAAATTAAAAATAAATGATACTATATGGAGTAAAGTCAACAGAATCCAGACAAATTGTTTTTATTAAAATTTTTCTTGAACTTTAAACTTAAATATCTCATCCAAAATTTAATCAATTTTGATAATTTAGTACTTATTTTAATTCTACAAACTTGTAAAATTAAAATAAGTACTAAATTATCAAAATTGATTAAGTTTTAGATGAGATATTTAAGTTTAAAATTAAAGAAAAATTTTAATAAATACAATTTGTCTGGATTCTGTTGACTTCACTCCATATATCAAATAAACTTAAAAACTTTGAAATATTGATACAAAATTTTAAAGCAATTTTAAATTAACTGACAATTAATCTAAACATTCTATATAAAGTAAAACCTATTTTTAGTGTCTTATTTATTTTTATTCAGAGTGTTTATTATAAAAGATTCTTTAGAATAACAGAAACTAAATGTCTTGAACTATATACTTAATTATTAAAAAAATTTTTTTGAATATATAACTTTTGAGAATTAAAAAGCATGTAAGAGCCAATCAAATTTAAAAATCTACTTGTAGATTGTTCTAGAATATGATTTCCTAATTTGGTAAATTTTTTGACTATAATAAAACTCTTTGCTAGTCTATATACTAAATTTATTATAAAATTCTAATCTATATAATAAATTTAATATAATGTGACAACTTGCAACTAATAAGAATACAATATATATATATTTAATTATTATAACAAAAGTTAATCTAACTTTGTTATTAATTTTATTATATAGATATATAGGTATATAGATATATATAATAAATATGTTATATAATAGAATTTTTTGGTCAGTTCAAATTTCTGTTATATTTATAGTTAATAGTATATGCTTTTTTATATATTTTGTTATTTAGTTTATTTGCTTATTATTATAAAGATATTTTATAAATTTTAACCAGTTTGATAATATTGTCAAAAGTTCATGTTATTTCTTTACTTGAAAATTTTTAAGTAAATTTCAACTTCTTAGTTTCTTAGTTTTTATATTTAGTGATTTTATTATAAATTTGTATCAAAATCTTATGTAATACTAGTCAGAATATTTTTTTATATACATGTAATATTACACTTTGTATAGATGTTTTGAACTTCTAATAAGAGATAAACTCTAATTTGGTATACTTGAATTAGAATTATATAATGCCAACTAATCAACAGAAGATAGTTACTATAATACAAATTAATTTTTAAATTTTATTATAAGTAATATTTAAACATTAAACCTGCTACTTGAAGAATAACAACCCAACCATTATACTAAAATCACAATTCTCTAAAAATCTATTTTTAATTTATTAAATACATATATAATAAATATATATAAATTTGGTAGTTTTTGAAACAAATTTTATAATTTAATATACAATAAGCTTATTTTTTTTATCCTTATTAATTGCTTAAATATAATCAATAAAAAAATTAAAAAAAAAAATATTATTAATAACTAACACTTAAATGTATAATTTAAGATTATCAAAATCTTATAAAAGTCTAAATAATCTAAAAAGAAATTAACAAGCTAATCTTAAATATAAGCAAAACTTTGATATTGTTTAATTTCTTTATTTTTATTTTTTTTAATAAAGTTTTTTTGTATACTGAAGTTTGCTGTAGTTGCATTTTTTCTTTTTACAATCAATAGCAATTATTTTTTGTACTTAAAATAAAAATAGAAAAAAATGCAAGAAAAAGAACGCACAATATAATAATAATAATAAAATAATTCTTATATATCTTAATATTATATTGATTGATTCAATAATTAGAAAATTGATTATGTCCTCACTGCTAATATTTTAAAAAAAAAAAAATATGTTGGTATAGTTACGTGACCTACGAAATATTTTAGCTGACATTACTAATCCTATAAATCCAAGTGAATCAGAAACAATGTTTTTGCCCTGAATAAACTCAAATTGAATAATCTAGGCATGGAAAACAAGTATAAGTAGGTTTTATGGAGTCAAATAGAAATTCCTCATTTCATTTTAATCCGATTTCATTATGATTCGTGACATTTATTTATGAATTTAATTTTATTTATGTCAAATAAACAAAAGAATAAAAATACAAGTATGATTAATGAAAGTTTCCGGATTATAGTTTATATATAGTTTAAAAGTATAAAATATTAATCAACTTAGCCGTACCAAAATTATCGACTTAGCTAAGCTTATAAAATTTTTAATCACATTCCCATTTTCCCCATTTACCCTTAATTATTTACATTGTCACCAATTAATTTAAACTCAATCCCATCAATTTTTAATTTCTTATCTGATTCACCACTATTCTTTTCTGTTGCTTTCTTATTCAGTCTTTTTATTGTACTGCGCTTCAGTTTAATCTTGAAAGCAGCATCTAAAAGTAAGTCAGGAGTTAATAGTTCGTGTGGAATTGAACCCAAAAATTCTAGAATATCTGAAGTTGACGGACAATGGCTTAATATATAATCTCGTGTACAATCCAGAATCGCTAGTCCAATTCTGAAAAATAGCTTGGCGCCTATAAAAATTAGGTATTAGAAATGAAAAATAAAAAATAGATATAAAGAAAGGGCATATAAGATGTTTTAAATTTTACCTTCAAAATAAAATACGTCCCATACTCGAAGAACTGATGCCCATGGTAAGACCATAGTAAATATTGTCAAAAACCACTTCGGAATATAAAGTATTGGATCAACAGACTCATTTTTCTATTATATTAAAAAAACAAAACTGGTTAGGTTAGTTTGATCATAGGTAATCAAAAAATGTACGATTTAAATCAAAAGAATTCTTAATTACAAAATGTTGCGCCAACTTGGCATCATGTTCTAATAATAGCAAATCAAATATGCGAGAATCTACTTTAATTTGCGGTAAATCTGGAGCAAAGTAACCACTCATATACTCTTCTATCGTAGCAACAAGAAGCCAAAATGTATCTTCGGCAGGCATTTGCATCAGCATCATTCCAACTAGACGTCCCATACCCTGACAATACCCTACTACAGTATCATAATGTGCGTATGCTTTCAATATATTAAAGAGATCTTCTTGTCCAAATCCTTTTTCACGGAAGTGAATATGATCAGGGTAACATCTGTCAATGTCTTTCTCGATATCATCATATATTGGCAATTTTTCTTTATTTCGTAATTTCTGTTTGATAAAAAAGAAAATAATTTATTAATCTATAATAATGGACAATAAAAATCACCTAATCGCTATTTAGAAAGGCATACATCAAAAACACCCTTTTTATAATATTTGTGGACTCCAGCCATAAATTGCCAAGCTTTACCACGTACGGACTCTGGGATACCGAGACGAACTAACTTCTTGATCTGTAAATAAATGATAAAATATTGGTCAAATGTTTAGAACAAAAAATACTATATTAATTATTTAGTGAATTTACCTTTCTCGAATCCCTTGCCATTGAAGGATCCATGCTTCCGAGGAAGGAAACCCATTTCGCTTCACGGTCACGATATAAACGAATGGAGCGTGCAGTCTTTTCTTCAACTCCTGGCACTTGGACACTGATAATAATTAAAGGTAAGTTGTTAAATAGTATAAAATAATATGTATATATACAAATTATAGAGGTATCAAATTCATACATTCTTTGTATCCCATTAGCACCTTTAGGAATTTCAGATTCGGCAACATTATGGACAAAACCATAATTATCAACAGCAAGAACCTTTTCTTTCCTAATATTATCAGTCTTTCCTTTATGATCCATGTTTTTTAATGATTTTGAATCTAACTCATCTTCGTCTGAACTCATATCTTCACTATCATTTGTACCGCTATCATTACCATTTTCATACATGAAAGGGGCCATAGGCCTTGTGATATCAATTGACGAGCTGTTATTGCTATGATAAAGACTATCATTATCGAAATCATCTTTTGGGGCATAATTTTTTTTTAAGGGGTGTCGTTTATGACGACCTTCCGATTCACCATCATCAACTAAAATTTGAGGTACGACTTTTGGAGAAGATAATGGGGGAGTAGGTGAAGAGAATTGTCTAGCAGAAGGACTAGAAGGAACAACTTTTGGCGAAGATAATGGAGAAGTGGGTGTAGAGAATTGTCTGGTTGAAGAATTAGAAGGAACAACTTTTGGGGAAGATAAAGGAGAATTATAATTAAATTGTCTAGCAGAAGAATTAGAAGGAATAACTTTCGGTGAAGATAAAGGAGAATTGGAATTAAATTGTCTAGCAGAAGGATTAGAGGGAACAGCCCTCGGTGAAGATGGCGGAGGAGTGGGAGAAGAAACTTGTCTAGTAGAAGGATTAGAGGGAGCAATCCGTGGTGAAGATGGAGGAGGAGTGGGAGAAGAAACTTGTCTAGTAGAAGGATTAGAGGGAGCAATCCGTGGTGAAGATGGAGGAGGAGTGGGAGAAGAAACTTGTCTAGTAGAAGGATTAGAGGGAGCAATCCGTGATGAAGATAGAGGAAGAGTGGGAGAAGGAGTTTGCCTATAGGAAGGATTAGGAGGACTAACATTTGGTGAAGATTGTGGGGGAGTAGGAGAGGATAATTGCTTAGAAGGAATAATTTTAGGGGAAGATAGAGGAGGAGTGGGGGAAGAAAATTGCCTAGAGGAAGAGTCAGAAGGAATAATTTTCGGTGAAGATAAAGGAGAATCAGAATTAAATTGTCTAGCAGAAGGATTGGTAGAATATCCTCTGGAACCATTCATATGATGCTGACTAATTTTAACTGCTGGCGATTCTAAAGAGACCAACTTATTTTGTATTTGAGAAGGATTGTTTAAATCAGATTGTGGAGCGCGAGATATATCTATATTTTTCACGATAGATTTTGAAAAATTATTGTCATGGCTATTAAAAGAACCATTCCTTTCATAGTTTTGATCATCATCATTAGAATATGTTATACTAATTGTTGGTGCAATTGATGGTGAAGATGGTTCTGTAGAAAAATAAAGAATTTCAATGAGTAAAAGAAATTCAAGATAATTTTGAAGCACAGATACGAAAGTAAGTTACATAGCACACCACTAATAATATCCACCGAAGACATAGAAGATGAACGAGATCTGGTTTGAACATTTTGACCAACATCGGACGGACGAAGATAAGAGTTTTGCTGCAATTGTCTTTGAGAACTACCAGGTAATAAACCTTCAGATTGATTTGAATTTGAAGATAATTGAGTTTTCAAAGGACCATTAAAAGAAACAGATTTTCCTCTAAAACGTCCAATCACACCCTCACAAAATCCCTATTTAGACATATAAAGTGAGGTTAAAAGAAAACAAAACAAATAAAATTAGATATTAATGATATAACTAAACTTACAAGATAAATATCGCCGTCAATGTGTTTCAAGACGGTAATAACTTCACCTAAAATTAAGAATTGGTAAAAATATTCCGGATAATTCAATTAGAGTTCAAGTAGAATTCAAGTAGAATTCAAGTAGAATTCAATTAGGTAAAAGTAATGAGATATCATTACCGGTATAAAACATTAAGTCAATTTGAGAACTCGCTAACGTGTCCTCTATGGCAACACATGTACCAATCCCTCCTGTAGTTGTTCGAACGAATAGTTATAAAATATAATAAAATAAAACAGTATAAAATAAAGCACTAAGAGAATTAACAAACCTTTTGCGGCAAACTGGTGTAATTTTTCAAGTTTTGAAGCTTTTTGCGATGACATTTGGGTCAGTCTCTACCGTTATGAGTATTCTTGAGAAAATTTTGATTATTTATTAGACCATATTCTTGAGTAGGCACTCTACTCATAGTATTGGTTTTGTGGCATACTATTATGACAATTCTCGGTTTGAAAGTTATTTGTTTATATACCTATTTTTTTCGGTTCTAAATTTGAAATCTTGCATACCATGTGATGCATATTGATGATCTACACTGATTTGATTGGTCAGTCAAGTTAGACATTTCCCATACGGGTTTGAGTATTATTACGTTACGATTGTATACATAAAAATACATAAAATTAAGGAATTAAACACAAAACTATAAGTAAATATGATTTGGATATTTATTGCCAAACAAGCAAGAATAATGAAATTCCTAAAACCGAAATGCAATGGGTCTACGCACGGCATGTCTTATTGCATCTTATAAACCTATAAATCAATTGTAATTATGTTTATTGAACTTCTTTTAAAGCATGTGACCAAGAAATTGAATAAAATATTTTCGTCGCTTAACTTTTTAAATAGTGATAGAATTGTTAATTAAACCTGGTGTGAAAATATATAAACCAGACTATTTCGTCATAAATCAATCCAGAGCACAAATTAAAAACTAATTTCAAGCTAACCCAATTCATTAACAACCCAATGTTTTTTAGCTGAAATACTAAACAATTATATATTGATAAAATGTATCGAATATATTTTTTTTTTCTAGTGTTCACCATTTTCAGTAATGAAATTTCTTTTGTATACCATGTGTGTTTGTGTTCTGTGCATCATAAAACTTTGATCGTTAATTACACGAATTAATTCTATCCACGTGATATTACTCAAAAGAAATTTATATACACAATCGCAATTCAGAAAACAAATCGTAAATCTCGTAAATCTCTCACATGTGAGCTTAAAACTATATTAAAATTATGTATATATTCAAACTCTATTCAAACTATATTCAAAGAAATATAAAATTTTGAAATTGTTTTTACTGACAATAAAATGGTACGTGACTGTTAAAAAAAATTACGCAATACGCGAATATAAACGATATCATTGTGGAATTACCACATGCACTTGCAAAATAAGCATCAAACACATATCTGACGTTATATTATATTATATTATATTATATTATATTATATTATATAGTATCTATGTATATTATGCAATACAAGCCTCCTGTAAATCTCCACATATGTACGATAATGCATCCCCACTATTTTCTATTTTTGCTTAGATTTTAAAAAAAGTTAATATCAAACGGATTATGAAACACAATAAGGAGTCCCCTTAATCGTTTACGATAATTATTAAATACTGTTCTGATTATCGTAACCCCGGTCTTTTACCATCTTTAACTTGACTAATGCACAAGATATTCTTGATAGAATTCTGCTTCAATACTTGTCGATTACTTTATAGATCTTAAAGAAATTAGATGGGCAGGCAATAAATTTAGTATCCAATCATGAAAATCCGAAATGTTGAGTAAATCAAGAAAAAATGGTTTGGCCTAATTTTATAAAGATACTAATTAAATTCATAAACCTCCTATTAGTAAGAGAAATAAATGAACCCTCAAAGAAAGTTAGACAATAAGAATTTAAGTTTTTTTTTTATTTTTAGGTTTCGATTTCCTTGCTTTTTTTAATATTCTTGAATTTTTATTTAAAGAATTCTATTTTACCTTGATTTTATTCTCTTATATTTATTCAAATGAAATCAGCAAGTATTCTGATATAGTAATGCCGTGCTTGATGTTAATATCTGCTTGATGTTAGCATCTGCTTGCTGCACCTGCCTAAAATTACTCATGCATGTGAGAAAAATCTAATTTTAGGTGCTACTTTTAGTCAAGTGCAGCTTTAGTTGCAACCTAAAACAGGTGACAACTTCAAGCACAAGAATATAATGATAATCTGCTAGAGCTAGCACTAGGGTTGTTAATGTGTTGGGATAGGTTGATCTGGTCTTCCACCAGAGTTGGAAACGACCTATTGAAATAGTGGCCATTTACTGCGCAATTATCCATTGTTTGAAGTATCTTTTTTGATGCTTCAAAATTAGTATTTAAATTACTAATTACTAAACGATAATCGTATTTTAAAACAATAAGATGTACAATATTACATATGACCAATTAAATTCTAATGTAATGTGAATCAAGAACGATACTTTGCAAATGGCCACTATTTCAATAGGCATTTTCATCCCTGTCTTCCACCCACTCTATTAAATTCACTCCAACTTAGATTAGGTTCAACCTTGGGAACCTGGCACGCCTAAAACCTTTCGGCATGCCATATTGTAAGTATAATAACAAATTACTTTTAGAATATTATTAAATTTCCTTTAATCAATCAGATTACATGAATATAATTTTTATAATAAAGGCATGCCATAATGGACTTAAACACTTTGGCATGCCTAGTTCAACCTGGTGTGATTCCAGAGTATGATACTCCATTAATAATCCTATCTAGCATGAGAGCTAGTCATTGCCAGTATATAGCCAATCGGTGAATTAGGGCGCGGAGATATAGACAGTCAATCGACGAACGTTTTTGGCCAAGCGATAAAAATTTAAAATTATCGGCCCAGTCTAGACTAAGATTTGATCAGCTAGGATCTCCATCATAGCAAATATTCAAGCTTAAATTTGAGACTAGTGTGTATCTATTGAAAATCACATATGGTAACAGTAATATCTTGACTTAAAATGAATTCTAGTAATTTCTCATTCTAAGTGAGAAACTTATTGTTAATTACACGTTAATACTATTGAATATTAAATATTAGTTATATACATACAAATTTCCAATTTGTCGTTATCTTATAAAAGCAATGAATTTACTCCGCAGGCGAGCGAGAGAAGTAAAAACAATCATTAGTTAACATTTAATATTACAGTATTAATACTATCACTATATACCGATGAGTACGTATTACGTTACATTACACAAACCGTAGTAGATGACGATGTGGTATGACAATCTGCCCTATATATGTAGCATTTATATATATATTTTTACATTTCGTTTTCGTTATATTATACTTGCTGCATATCCTTATGTTTACAGGTTAATTATAAGAATTTTTCTTTAAGCAGCTTTAAAAATGACGTCGGTCCGGTCGAGCAATAACCTATCTAACTCGGACGTTGCCACGCTTACAAGTTTTGGTTATAGACCTGGTGAAGAGGATAATGAAAATGTAATATCAAAAATATTTCAACGCGTAAAAAGTTCTTTCGCTCCGTCTCCTGGCACTCCGAATGTAAACAATTCTACAGATCCTCTCGAAAGTTCTTCAACAAACTCTTCTCAAGACCCTGATTTTGAACCTTCGAGAAGTACTTCATCGCTCTTATTACCAGATAAAGATAATAAGGGTTTTAAACATGGTGTAACCCCAGCTCCCCCCGTCGTTTCAATAGAACCTTTCCTTGGAAGTGCCCCACCAAAGCATATGGTTGAGTCTTCGGACAGTGTTCAAGACCATGTTAATGGTACAGTAAATGGGATCAATACTAGTTCAAATTTAGTTAATGGTACTAGTAACCAGCAAAACTATCAGGAGGGACTCGATGCGGCGTCTCAAGACTCGCATCCTATTCATAAAGATGTTTCGGATACTCGATCTATTCAATCTGTTCAGACTACTGCATCTACTTCTACTTCTAATAATTCTGGCTATTCATTTAGTAAAGTTATCAGAAGGTTACGTGGTGAAGGCGTAAATAGAGGCTACTGGATGGCCGATGATACTTGTAAAGAATGTTATGACTGTAAAACTACTTTTACCATAGTCCGAAGAAAACACCATTGTCGTATATGTGGCAAGTAAAATTATAAATAAATGCATAAATATGGCTAGGTGCTGAGAAAAGGGACGAAATTGACAATCAAAAAAAAAAAAAATTTTTGCCCAAAATTAGTTTAGAAATTTTTTTTCACTTAAGAAGCAAATACTGTTATCTTAATAAAAAATTTTGCAGTATAATTCTTAATGTTTTTATTTTCTTATAACTTATTATAGAATTTATGATATAAAAATCAATTTTCCGCAAAACTTTTTTTGGTTTTTGTCAATTTCGTCCCTTTACTCAGCACCAAGCCAATATATAATTTTCCTGTGATTATTTTATTAATTTAATTTATTTTGTTAAAATTTATTATTATTATTATTTTATAAAAGGTCAGATATTCTGTTCTAAATGTGCTTCTAATATAATACCTGGTGAAAAGTTTAATTATGATGGTGCTATGCGTGTTTGTAATTATTGTCGTCAACTTATTAAAGATTATGGTGAGGATTCTGATTCAGAACCAGAATATTGGACTCCTGAAAAAAACGATTTTACAAATAATGCTATTCCAAGATTACATTTTACTCAGCCTACGTCAACTGACAATCACAGCATTCCATCAAATACAACGTCTGAGTTAATATGTTCTAACCTTAATCCTCATCTTTCACCACGACCTCCTTCCCCTGACACTCTTTCATTGAATGATGGTCTAAAAAAAATTATTTCTGTTGGGTCATCTTTATTTATGGCAAGGTCAAGATCTAACACTATAACAGAGGATCCTCACATTGTAGGATTACCATCTGCCCCTGCACCTTTTCGACGTAGTCTTGCTGAAGATGATAAAAATACTCCTGCCGCAAACCCGGAAGCCGTTCTTGACCCAGAGATTGCTCCTTTTATGAGTGATGAAGAAGGAGAAGATGATGTTCATTATGATTCTTTAACGAATCCGTCAAATGTTTTAAGTTTTGTTGTTACTAGTATTTTACACGTGGGTGGAAGTAGTGAATCTGCTACTCCGACCCCTGCCGTTTCTGAATATGCCGATAGTGATGATGAGGCTAGTGAATATGGTTCAAGATCTTCTCTACCGTCGATGCCAAAAGGTCAACGTGCTGAGGATATAAGAAGTCATTTTGCTAGAGATAAAAGTACTTCGAGACGACGGAGTATTAATAGTAATCGTCCATCCAGAATGGGTAAAAAAAGGAGTGGTTTACTCAGACAAATTAATCCAAATAGTGTACCTATGGAAATGTCTTGTTCAATAGAATCTAGACCTTCATCTCCATTTAGTATGCGACATTCTCGGACTACTTCTATGCATACCAAAACAGAAATAAGCCCAGTTTCCCTACAACATATGAGGCAATTATTACGTCAATTCCTACGAGAATCTGAAATTAATTTATCCGAAGGTTGGGAGAATGTAATAATGACTTTGATGACAAAAGTTTCTGATAATTTAAATCCCAATGTTCGTGGTGGTGATGAGATTGATATACGACATTACGTAAAAATTAAAAGAATTCCAGGTGGTACTCCTCAAGATTCCGAATATGTTCACGGTGTTGTATGTGCAAAAAATTTGGCTCATAAACAAATGCCAAGGGCTCTTCATAAACCTCGAGTTCTTATATTAACTTTTGCTTTGGAATATCATCGTGTGGAGAATCAACTAATGTCATTGGAACCAGTTATTGCCCAAGAAGAAGAACATTTACGTCTGTTGGTCAATCGAATTGCTGCATTACGTCCTCATTTAGTTCTAGTCGAAAAAACAGTTGCTCGTAAGGCTTTGCAAATGTTATTAGAAAAAAATATCGCTGTTGCTTTGAATGTTAAACCATCAGTTATTGAAGCTGTTGCTCGTTGTGCACGAGCTGATATCATTCAATCTATCGATAAACTTGCTATAGAACCAAAATTGGGCAATTGTGGAACGTTTTTGGTTAAAACATTTGACCATCAACTTATTCCAGGACGGCGAAAGACTTATTTATTTTTTGAAAAGTGTCCTAAAGATTTAGGATGTACTATTGTTTTACGAGGAGGAAATATGGGAACTCTAGAAAAAGTAAAACGAATTGCCGATCTCATGGTTTTCGTGGTATATAATTTAAAATTAGAGACTGCTCTAATAACGGATCAATGCGCAAAAACACCTGGTTTTATTGAAGATCTTCAAATTAGCAATAAAGATTACTTTTCTGCTAAATGTGATGAGTCGGACCCATTAGGACCATATGAATCAACTATACTTTCAGTGTCCCCATTTATTAAATTCCCACCACCTTACTTATTGACAAGAATGAAGCAAGCTGAAAAAAGGCTTGCAGATTTGGTACAGAAACGTAATTGGACTTTAAATAAAGATGGTGATAAACAACCACCAGCTCCTGTTGGGCTTTCAGGCATTTTACGTACTCCTGAGCAAGTTATAGCTGAAGCAGAATTTGCTGATGCCGTCCATGATCATATGTTTCAAGTGCGCGCTTGGGAAAGTTATGTGTATAATAATATTGTTAGCCCATATGCACATCAAAATATATCGGTGTTGTCTTCCAAAGTTTGCACTGTTAATGGAACTCCATGCAATGAGCCCGAGATTTTGGTTATGGAATATTATCGTGAATCCGATCGTACACTTGGACAATATCTAGAAGATATGTGTTCAAGATCTGCTTATTTATGCAGTACGTGTGATCGTCCGCTATTCATGCATTATCACTGTTTTTGTCACGGAAATTCACGAATTACCGTGTATATCGATGAAAATCAAGAATTCCCTCACCTAAATGTGGATCAAATATTCATGTCTACTCGTTGCAAAAAATGTGATGCTGTGACTCAACCTACATTAATGAGTGAAGATACATGGAAGTATTCATTTGGAAAATATTTAGAACTTTCTTTTTATCAAACAGAAGTAAATAGCCGTATAGAAAAATGTTCGCATAATATTTTTCGTGATCATGATTTATTCTTCCATTTTAATAAGCTTACAGTCAGGTTTCGATATGAGTCGATTGAACTTTTAGAAGTATTTGCGCCACCTATGCATCTTTATACAAAGCCCGAAGTTCATATTCGTCTTAAAAATCAAGATTTAGATATAATTCGACATAAAATAACGGATTATTGGGATTCAGTAGCTGATAGAATAAAAAATTTCAATTATGAGATTGTTCAACCAGATAAGGCTGAAATATGCAAACAAGAACTTTTAGAAATGTCACGAAGAGTTGTGATAGAGAAGAAATCGTTGCTTCAAAAACTCCAACAAACATATGTTAATAGCCCACCTGAAGATACCTTAGCGTTAAATAATGTATTGTGTGTTCTCCAGAATAAAGTCGTGGAATGGGATAAAGATTTTAATGATATCGCTCGACAATATTTTCGACTAACTGCAAAACAAATAAGAAGATTTTTTGTTGATAATCATGAAGCGATTACTTTACGTGGTTACTCAAGTACATTTTTCGATGACTTGCCATTGATAAATATGGATCTTGATACTATATCAGATTCTAAGACCAATGATTATGTTGGTCCTACAATTGTTCCAAAATTAGGAAGTTCTCCTACAGCAGATCTTATTTTGAATGGACTTAAAGAGTTAGATTTCTTTTGTGAAGGAGAAATTGAAAGTCTTGAAAATGACATACAAAAAGTAGCCTCACAATTGACCTTGTTTCCATTCATGGACCCAAAGGTTTCTAGGCGTTTATCGATGAAATGGATGCAAGAATCTAAATCATATCAAAGACAAGTAATAACTCGTACAGCTTCTGATTCAATCTTTCCGGCTATTCCTGACAAACAAGAAGATTGCGATTTTGCTCAAACAACTGAAATACCTCATATAATACCATCTACTATTAAACAGAGGCATGCTGCATCATCACCTTCCTTATTAGTATTTTCAGATTCACACAACTCAAGTGGACGTAGTAATTCAATGCCTTCTAAGCAAAATCGGGCAATATCATTACAATCTTCTACAAAATCGTCATCAACATCTCGAATCAGTCGGTTACAGCAAGTATTGGAAAAAGAAAGCAATTTACATGATTATCCTTCAACCAAAAAGGTACAAACTCCCCTCAAAAGAAATCAAACTACAGCCTCTGAAAAATCAGTAATTCCTCGTCAAAATTCAAAATCTAGCAGATCATCAACATTTAAACACTCTCTGCCAGATAGTTATGGACTCTCCGCAATAAGATCTCATGAAAATAGGAAAAACAAATTAGCTAGTTTTTATAAATCAAAACGTAGGCCGACTATTCTGCCCTCAAAGCCGATTATTGAAGTTTACAATAATGCGAAGGATGCTACTGCAGAAGAATCAGACTCCTCTGATGACTCTGATGAAGGTGTAGATGATTGTCCCGAACGATATTACGATGATGAAACACGAATTTTCTCGCTGAATCGTACAGATGTATTTGACGAATTACTGGGAAATGAAGAGTTTGCTACATTACCCGGCCGAGAACCATCGGATGAATCATATATATATCATTCTGCATTGGCATTTTTAGGAAATGATCTCAATGAACCAACTACACCAGTAGCAGAATCATTTTCAGGATCCAGTAGATATTTATTTCAAAACGATGCAAACGATACTTCTAATGTGCAAAGGGTAGTGAGATCTATTGCGAGCTTTTGGACCGATAAAAAAAATTTAGATCCATTGATTTATCCTTTGTAAGTTATTTACAAACAAGCATTTATTTTATAATAATAAGATGGTTTATTCATTTATGACTTTATATAGAAATCCGACGGAACACGTTTTTTCTGACTCTTCAATTATTGTTAGAGAAGATGAACCGGGGTCAATAATAGCTTTTGCTTTGAGGTAAGTACTTAAAACAATTCATGATAATTCAATTTGTAAAATTTGGTTTACAATTTGTTGATTAATCTCTTTGATTATATATTTGTATCTTGAAGTTCAAAAGAATACTTGGAAAAATTGAAGACAGTGCAAAACAATCAAACCAATGATATATTCACATCAGGAGATGATCGATTTAGTTCTAAGTCTTCTAACTGGATGCTCGAAGGAGAAGAAAACAATGAAGTAGAGGATAATCTATTATCGCATATGAAATATCGTAAGGCATAATTGTCAATTTGCTCTATTATTAATATTGATGATGACTATTCATGCTTATTATTCTATTTCGTAGAATTTTCCGGTGGTTCTACACAATTTGTATGTAAAATCTTTTGTGCCGATCAGTTTGATACACTTAGGCGTAAATGTGGTTGCGAGAGCACTTACATACAGTCACTCGCACGGTGTGTGAAATGGGATTCGAGCGGAGGCAAATCCGGCTCGGCTTTTCTCAAAACTCGAGGTATGCTTATGTTTAATAATTAAAAATAAGAATATATGTAACGAATACTTATAATTTATCTATTTAGACGATCGCCTGGTCATGAAACAAATTTCTCGTAACGAAGTGGATGCGTTCTTAAAATTCGCTCCAAAATATTTTGAATACATGGCTAATGCCTTGATTCATGTTAGTAATATAAGTTTAATGCATTTTTGCATATATTTATATGTTAAATTCTTAAATTTGAAACCTATTATCGTCATTTATTAGCTTCCTACCGTTTTAACCAAGATTTTTGGTTTTTACCGCATTGGGTATAAAAATGAGCAAACCGGAAAACATTTAAATATAAACGTTATTGTCATGGAAAACCTTTTCTATGAACGTAAAGTATCAAAAGTAAGTAAAACTCTTAATTTATCAGATATCGTATTGTTATGTAATAATCTACCTATGGGGTCTCTACCTTAGTAAATCATATAGCTAAACCTTGATTTTCAAGACAAAACTTCCATAACTTTAATTATTAACATTGTTTGAAGCTATTACTAATTTAATGAACATGATTACTTGCACTTTACAGATTTTTGATCTAAAAGGCTCCATGCGAAATCGCCATGTACAGAGTACTGGAAAAGAAAATGAAGTTTTATTAGATGAGAACTTAGTAGAACGTAAGAGTGTTTTAATACTTTTATATTCAATCAAATTTGGTGCTTATTATTATTATTTTATCTTTATAGTCATTATGAACGAAAATCCGTTATATCTTCGAGAACATGCAAAGAAACTTTTACATGAATCTTTGTTCAACGATACATTATTCTTAGCGAGACATAACGTAATGGACTATTCTCTTTTGGTTGGAATCGATGAAGAAAAGCGTGAATTAGTTGTTGGAATACTTGGTACGTTTCAAATAATTTAATCATTTGCTGTTTTTATTCTTAATTGATTTAATTCATTGTAACTATTTTAAAAAGATTTTATACGAACATTTACATGGGACAAGAAACTTGAAAGTTGGGTTAAAGAAACTGGATTTTTAGGCGGTGGTGGAAAAGAGCCGACCATCGTTACTCCTCGTCAGTATAAAAATAGGTTTAGAGAAGCCATGGACAGGTACATGATTGTGTTTTGAAAGATATTGAACAAATAATTTAAATGTTATTGTATTAATATTATTCTTGTACTTTTATAGATATTTCCTTATGGTTCCTGACCGATGGATTGCATATAAAACCTATCGTAAGGCTGGGCGTATTCTTTAATACGTAAAATTAACGACATTTATTATAAATGTTATTAGGACGTTAAATTAATTTACAATGAGTTGTATATATTATTGATTTAAGGGTTTTAATATTGAAATTATAACTAGTAACCCTCCAAATTATCTAGCCGAAGGACTATGTATATAATTAAGACATTGTATTATTTATTTTTAAATTTATGTACAATAAATTTTGGATAATCAATATTTTAGAAATTTAATAAATTCAATTTATTGATATTATTATATCCAGTTATAAAAAAAATAAAATTTCGATACTACAGATTAGCAAGGAAAATTTTAAAGGCAAATATTATTATGCAAGTTATTTGGATTTTGTATTTTAAAAGTGGAAATTCTTAAATTTATCTGGGACCGTTAGGGATGGTAAGTCCTAGTTAGGTCCTGATAGGTTCTAAGTAAATTAATAATTTTTATGCTGATTTTTTATTTTTTAGTTCTTAATTAAAATTATTAATTACAAAATTATGAACAATTTTACTTATAAGTATGAAGCAAAAAAGTTTCTTTAAAGTTTATAAATTCTTTAAAATATTAATTTAGAACCTAGGTTCTTGAATCTAAGTTCTAAATTAATATTTTAAAGAAATTTTTTTGCTTTATACTTATAAGTAAAATTGTTCATAATTTTGTAATTAATTTTAATTAACTAAAAAATAAAAAATTAGCATAAAAATTATTAATTTACTTAGGACCTATTAGGACCTAACTAGGACTTTACTATCTCTAGGAACTGTTGACATTATACAATTAGTCTGACACCTGATGTGTAATACAAAATAATTATTTTATCATTTTACTAGTACATTATATAATTGTATTTGATTATAATTAACATATATTAGTGGAATGGTCTAGTATTGTAAATAATTATTTTGTGTACATATTAGGTGTCAAATTAGTTATATAACATTACTTTTTGCTATTCTATTAATATTTAGATAATTTGACAAATATTCAAATAATTATTCAAATATTAATAGTAAAAATAAATATCTAAATAAATTCAAATCTGAATTTTTTTTTTGTTTTCATTAAAGTTAATATTAACAGTAGCTATTGCTTTTTTTGTATTTTTAATTATATATATAGTAAGACCTTTATAAATGTATACTCTTAAAAATAAACTTTAATAATGTGTATTTAGAGAATAAAAGAAAAATGCATTTATAGAAATTATGTATATATATTATATCTGAAGTAGTAGTTTATTTGAAGTAGTATCTAGTTAAAATTAAGCCTCTGAAATTAGATTTTTATGTATACATTAAATTTTAATTTTAGTCAAAACATTACTTTAAATATATAAAGTAGTTACTTTAAATAAATTACTACTTCAGATGTGACATATATTTAGAAAAGGTATGCACTTATAAAGTACAGTCAACCCTCTATAAATGCACCTTCTATAAATATATACACTATGTATGCCCTCTCTAAATGCACACTAATCTTCAGTTCCAAGCATATAGAGCACTTAATAAAATGCCCTTCATAAATGCACACCCTCTCTAAATGCATATGTTTAAAATTTTTGCTTATAGTCCCAAGGGGGGTGCATTTACGGAGGGTTGACTGTATGTATTTTTGAAGGTTTTACTATATATAACTTGTACAAAATAAGTATTCAACTTGTTATATATGCAATTTTTATTATTTATTTAAGTAGTCTAGTTACAGATTATATACTAATTATTATATTTGTAATTTGTTATAAGATTATTTATTTAAATTTTAATCTCTATATTATATATTTTTTTTAAATATTAAGGTAAGTACTTGTGACCTAGAATTTTATTGATAGTATATTTGACTAATAGTTGTATTACAGGAGACAACTATAAAAAAAGTATATAACTAGTCATTTATATAACTTTAGTCATTGTCTAATTTAAGTAGTTTGCTTGAAGTTTCTATACTAGCTGTCATACCTGAAATCTGCTTATAGGTTTCTTATTTAACTACTTTAGTTTCTATATTCACTTACCTACTTCTGCTTATCAATAACCTTGGCTGATGCTAATAAAAATATGCCATAATCACTAAGTTTTTAAAGCAGTTCATTTATATAAAGAAACTTTAATTTTGTACTAAACCTTTCAGAATCTTTTATATCTTATTTTTATAACTAACTTGATATCATTATAATCAAGACCAATACTGGCAGTTAGGATATATTATTAAACTACTATGCCTTTGTAGAGTTTATCCTAATTCTAATACTAACTTCATAATATATTCTTATTATTTTGATATTTAATTTAAGTTACATCAAGCTGTTATTTCAAATAGTTCAGAAAGGTAAGTCATAACTATACTTTTGGTTTACATGTTCTCTAGCATATATCTTTTTTTTAAAAAATCTAGATTTTAAAGAAATTTAAAAATTCTAGTAGCCTGATTGGTTTATTTAGTTTCTTCTTAAAGATTAATACATTTGCACAGTTTTACAAATTCTAGCTCTATTTTATAAATCTAGTTTTTACAGTAGCATCATCAAAGGTTCAGGTTATCTCTTTACTTAGGTCTTTTAAATAGGCTTTTATCTTCCTATCTGGTTTTTATAATTTATATAATCTAAGAACTTATCTTAGGTTTATACTATCCAATACTGATTTGTATTTCTTTATATAATGTTGTACAAATATCTAAACCTTCTAGTTATGCTGATATAATATAAGTTACAAATATCTAATCATAACCAATCATAAAAAACAATTAATTATAACACAAAAAGAATTACAAATTTTCATTATTATTTGGATTTAAACTCTAGACTTGCTACTTAGAAATTGACAAACTATTTACTTTACTAGGTTACCATACCTTTATTTCTATATTACATCAAACAAATAACATATTGATTCCTATATAGTAACTAAGAAAAGTAATGTCTAATAATTAATTTTATAATAAAATATATAAAAATTTACAACAAACCTTAAAAACAACTCTTTTTATAGATCTGTCGACCAAAAATTCTAAAAAAGAAAATATAAGAAAACTCAACAACTTGACTAGGAAACACAACTTGAGATACTAACAAGAAAGACAAAACAGCAAAAGTTGCATATAGTTTAATAGAAGAATATAGAAGAGGAACTAAAACAACAGCAAAGAATGGCATATAAAGAATTTTGATGAAAACAGAAAATTCTTTTGAAAAAGTGGGGAACTGCCAATATCCTGTATCATAGGTCCTTTAAGTTACACAAGAAGTCACAATAGGACTGACAAAGTAAACAAACAAACATGTACATTAAATCAATTTAGCATAGATAAAATACATAATATAGAAGTATATAGAACGGCTGTACAACATGAACAAAAATTTGCCAGAAAAATACAGAAAAAGCCTTAATGCAATTTTTACAAGAAGGGTGTATAAGACTATGAACAGTATGCATAATAAAATCTTCTTCAATAAAGCAAGTAAGGCATATGTAATACCAAGTAGAAAAGATAATATCATTGCAGCACTTACAAAACAAAATCTAAATGAAGTAGCATATTAGACAAAACAGAAAAAGAACAACCTAGAAAGAAGCTTGATTTTGTAGAACAATATCAAGATAGAATAAGCACAGAAAAGAAGAAAAAATAACAACAAACAAATAAGATAAAAGAAAAACAAGAAGCATCAAAAGAAGAGACAAGAAAAAGGAAAGAAAAAGATGAAAAGGTCAACAAAAGTCTACAAGCAAGTATGGAGATTGTAAGGGGAAAAGTAAGTATACAGGTAGGACAAACAAGTAATAACCAAGTAGAAACTGAATCATCATCCTCTTGTGAAAAAAAAGAAGAACAGAAAAGAGATCAAAAACAAGAAGACATAAAAATAGATAGAAAAAAATTAAGACAGAAATTAACAACAGAAGAAAAGAAAAAGAAAAAAACAAGAAAACAAGAAATCGAAAGAGAAATTGATGTATTTGAAATACTACTTGAAGAAAGCATATAGGCACTGAGCAAAAGAAACTGTAATCAAAGCAACAGCCTACTTGCAAATATATGTGCACATAATGTACTAGAGAAGACTAAAGATGAACACACGAACTTTATCAGATGGTCATTAAAAAATAATAAGCATGTTAAAAACATTGAAAAAGTTTTTAAAAGAGGAAATCTATAGATAGAGATAGACTTTGACTGCAAGTATGACAGAAGTGAAGCAATACAAAGAATTAGCAAAAAAGAAAGTGACTAGTACAGAATGATTGCAGAAGAAGAAAATATAAACAAGAAGGGAAAAAAGGAAATATATGACAAAAAATTTCAGAAGAAAAAAGCAACATATTAAAATTTAAGAAGAAGGAATACTAAGAGCAAGCAAGTGGAAAAGAATCTACTGAAGATCAAATAGATACAAAAGAAGAAAAAACACAAAAACATAAATATATAACAATTTGGGATCTATTAGCAGACATAAACAGAAAAAGATCGAATATATGTGCAAAAGATTTAAGAAAGCACATATAACATGAATCAAGAGATCCAAATACAAGTCTCTTATAATAGTTCAGGTAGAAGAATCAGAAGTAGAAAACATATCTTGGTCTATACCAGTTAATAGTAACAAACTAGTAAAAGTAACAGAAGATAAAGAAAATTATAAAGCAAGACAAAGGCAAAGTCAGCATACAACAAAAATAACAGATTTGCCAAGCAAGGCCTTAGAAGTTCTGCTGCTATGCTGCCTAAGAAGCAAAAATGCAAAATCAGTATACATTTTACCAAACAGAAATAGGAATCAAAGAAGAACAGCAATAATTACATTTGTGACAGAAAAAGAAATGAAGGCAGCTCAATCAAAGCCAATTAGATACAACAATTTTCAAATATTCTGGCTAAATGAAAGGAAGAAAGAAATAAGAAAAGAAGAAAGGGTTAGAGAAAGAAAAGAAAGAAGCTGGAAAAGAACTAGCCAAAGTCTAAACAAAAGATATATAAGAAAAAGAAAAGACTTTTAAATACAAA